ATTTCTGAAAAAAAATTATGACGGTTTAATGAAAGAAGTAAAGTGGAATACTCACGCATCGAGCTGAATGAGGTCAATATCAAGTCCCTGATTGAAATGGCCAGATGGTGGTTTGAGCTGCTCCTTAAATAAAAATTAACGCTTAGCTATAAATTAGTCTCCAGAAAAAACCCGAAAATAGTGTGAGAGAAAAAAATCCTCTTGAATTACCAAAAGAAAATGAGTCCAAAAAACAGAAGCGTTTCACGGTTTTTTTCAAAAATTACATAAGCTATTACTTGAATAAACTAACATAGTAAAAAGAGTAAAATCTACATGAAAGTAAAACGCAGCTAAGTCCACAGCAACCTACTGCCAAATCCTAGCAAAAGCAAAGCGAATTTTGAAAATCACTCAAAAATTACCTTTAATGCCTCCATTTTTTCAGACGGTTTTGGATGAGTAAGAGTGAAAGGCAGTTCAGCAGTAAGTTCCCCTCCCAAACTGCTGATTACCAAACGAACCTTAACTTTGTATTGTACCACAATGCCCAAGTTTTCCCTAGTTGAATTTGCAGAAAATCTGCAATTTTAAAAAATGTCTCCATAAAATCGAGAAACAAATGTTCCCTCTCATAACTTTTGTACTGAAATTTCAGTAATACAAGATTTCAAATAAATTGTAATTTTTGAAGAGTTCCAATTAATCCATAAAATGCTATTACGTTGTAGATGAAGCAAGATTCGTGTCCTCATGTTTTAGTTGACCATCAAGAGCAAGGCCTCGCTTATCTTTATTATTTGACAATAAAGGACATAATGAGTAAACTTTTGACAGTGTAGCACCAGGGCCAACAGGGAAACCTTCGCTAGAAAAAAACAAATCACTTTAAGCATCAGCCTTTAAAGTGTTTTCCAAATCAATAACTACGCTTCAAATATAGAAGAGTTGTGCCGTAAAGCAGTATGCAGTATCAGATCCTTTCCTTCACTTATTACAAGTATTACAGTAAAAGACTTATTAAAAATCTGGTCGACCATTGATAAAAAATTTTCAAACAAAGGCAAGTAAACCCTGCATCCAAAAGTATACCAAAGTAAAACCCAGAATTTTTTAAAACTTTTATAACTTTCCCATATTAGCCATAATAGACTTCTTAAAAGATATTATTAATAAAAATTTACCTCGATTCGACTTTAGCTACTTCACAAGTGTAAGAAGCAGTGGTAAAAAGGCAAATATCTGCCACCTGTACTACAGCAACTTTTATTTTTTTCACCGTCCTATTGCTATTATTTTGCACATGTACATTTACACAAATTGATTCTCCGTGATAATACATCTAAAAAGTTGTTAAGTAATACACATTCATTTAAAAACAAATAAGGAAAACGAAAGTGAAAGTACTTCAGTAAAGACCAGCCTCTTTATCCAACGAAGTCTCTAGATGTAACAACCCAGGACTCATAAGGAACTCTTTTGTAACCTCAGTTGATGGTTGTGCGCGATCTTCAAATGGTGAATATGTTAATTTTCTTATTGCCAAACGAACACAGTTGCTGAAAAATGCAAAACATTATGCATCAGAAAATTATCGTTCTTTAGTTAGATCATCTGAAACGTACGACCAAATAACCTGAAGTAAATAGATAAACAAACATTTTTGTTGGTAATCAAAAAACACTGGTAGGGGTTATGAGAAAAAATACTTGGTGATCTGAACCATTTTTGACCTAATGAAACAGCGAAATGATGCAAAGTATAAATCCCATGACAAAAAGCAGTGATTATCATTATTTAGTGAGATAAGAACAATAGTTACGCAGCTGAATAAAGCGCTTAAATAGGATGGCCAAAGATGGCTAAACACCGCTGAAATTCTAAATTAAAAGACATTTCAAACGTTTAATCAAGAGTCAAACTAACTGCTTTCTACGCCTTCCACCACCAATGGAATTTCTCTCATTTTTTTCGGTATGATCGCTCCTGTCATTCTTATCGTTCCTTTCGCAATAGCCTACGACAGTTTGCAGCTCATAGTCAACGCCACATGGTTTTCCTGTATCGCCAGGAGATGGCTAAAAAGCTTTTAAAAAATCAATTTGAATAATTAAAATGCAGGTTTTTACTAAATAAAGTACCAAGATGAACTGCATAGCAATATCTGTCAGAAACCTGAAGAGTAACACTAGAGGCACATCGTGAAGGCAGTTGAAACCAAAAAGGGTAAGCATTGTTTCCAAGCTTCTTTTTGAGTCTTTCTTGTAATCGTGTTAGGGGGCGTTGTTCCGATTCCACAACGGGAAAAACCTGTGCATCATTTTATCCCAACAATAAGCAAGGCTACGGCAGCAAAAACATAATGGGATTCGATCAAAAATAGAAATAACTCAGAAAATACAGAAAATTAACGCGACATTAAACCCCATACTAAATAAAAATATGTAACCTACTTGAAAAAACTGAGAAATAAGATCCTTTCTAAATGTGAGACCAAGGACGTCTAAGTCTTCCCGACCATACCGGAAGGCTGCTAAGAGATGAGCCGTCACAACTTGATTTTCCCTGATATAATCCTCATCTATTAATACCATGCCATCTAAACAGAAATCATCTACAGAAAGCAAAACTTGTAAAGATAAAGAAATGACCGTTTTTATTCTGTGTTAGTGAAGCGATTTATGTTATAAGAAACACCAGTGTTAAAGATATCCCACCAATTAAGTCAACAGTCCCTCCATCATCGATAAAATCCCTTTTCCCAAGATACGTAGTGATCTAAAACAAATCATTGTAAACCTCACAATATTCAGTGCTTTTTACCTTCCAAACCATTTCGGCCTTAACGACCCAATCCTATCATTTTTGCTCAGTCTAACTCTCCGTATTGCTATTACCAAGATGAAAAAGAAGCGACATAAAGTAAATGACACCGTAGAAAATAATTTTAAAAATCACCTTGCCATTAGGGCTAGATTTCTTGAATACCCTGCAAAAAAAAATTCATTTAATGCCACTGCAAGAACTATACATATGATTTAAGTTTCCAGAAAAAAATCAAGCATAATCGATGTTGACTGTAAAAAAAGAAAAAGTGGAGAAATCGCACTGCGAGATTCATTTATATCTTCAGATTGAACTACAGTTTTTCGTGTAACAAATGAAATAATGTTAGAAGATGCGCCAATAAAACGGGGCAAAAAACAATCCGAGATTAGGGCAATTCAAATGAACAAAAATGTAACAGCGCCCAGCATTGCAAGCTTTAAATGAAACAAACATTTTGTTTTTCTTTTAAAAGAGACGGAGTCTATTTATTTAT